CAGTTTGCAGAATCACGAAGTTGACTTTTGCCTTTACGTTACAGTTCCGTTAACCGTTCGTTCTCGATGCAGTAAGTTAACTTCATTGTTCTTTCTGTTCCCTGAATTTTTGAATGTGTAAAAAAATAAAGAAAGTTATCGTAGATAATGACCAATATTTTATCCACCAGAAATAACTGTACATCTTGTTATCTTTAAGGGGAATTATGTTTTGTAAATGTTGCTATTATAACTAATGTAAACAATATTAATGTAACAATATAGATGAAAATATAATTTTTATCACTTTTACACTCGCTTGAAACTGTTGGTATAAGTAATATAAAAAATTAGTATAACTACGTAACGAGTGACGCTATGGGGACTTGACCGACAACGTCTGGAAAAAGAATGTAACAACTGTGCCACCGTGATTTCTATGCAGGTGATCTGTTGTTGTATACATATGTATCATCGCTAAAATTTCATTATGTTATGTTATAAACCATTAGCGATGGAAGGGGATAGGTGCACTCGTTTTGACGAGATCTGTGAAGTGGTAGTTTCGTTAAATGGCGGAGGGGGAGCTCTCTTCTCGTTAGACAAAATAACGACGAGGAGAATATTTTGTTTTAACGTAAAGTCTCATAGTACAGAAGTGATATTTGCGTTAACATTTTGATAGGGAAAAAGATTTTTGATAAGAAGCATAATATGTATTCTTGAAATAATAGTCAAATAATTACAAAACGACACAAACGTTATACAAATATGAATGGATGCAAAATCCTTCAGTTGTTGAGTAATTCTTTGAATCGTTATCTTGTCAGTTGAGTTTCTGATTAAACGAGCTTCCATGATAAAACCGAACGATAGAATTTGTAAATTCATACCAGGAAAGAAACACATTTTTACTGGAAATTAATAGTATTAATGAAATGTAAAATCATACATAAGGTTTGAGAATAAAATGTGAGCCAAGATGGAACGTCAGGAGTCATAAACCGACAGTCACGTTCCATGGAATGGCGTGCGCAAAACTTTAGTACATATGTATGTATACTGATCGTCGATCAATAAGTCTCCAGTGCAGTAGCGTATTAACGTAAAGGTTCCCGATGTAATATGACATTACTTATTATTCTCTTGCGTTATGCCAGACAGCTCGTTACTTCGGGATATTAATTCCTATCTTTGAAACTTGAAATGTAATATTATAATATAAATTGGAACCGTTTGAACGATTATTTCTGTATGCTAGTATGATGTAAAAACGATTTAGTAAGGTAATTATGACATAAATGATACAAATGTTTGTACAAAATTTCCAACTATTTTTAATAATCTATCGATAATAAAGTATTATATCGATACTGAATTTAAATACAACATCGACAAAATACCGAACGAATTGATAAAGGATGATCGTTTTGTAATAGGAGCATTGATAGATGAAGATTTAAAGAGAAGGTAATTCAGTTTTCGCAAAAGCTACATTTCTTTTTATTAAAGTATCAATTCTCAAAAATGGCTTATCAACTTCTCGTCAAATTATTTTGCATTTAAACGAAGAAGTATGTACTTACGTGAATCGGATAATTGGAAGAAGAAAAGTAGCAACATTAATACATAGAGATAGCAATTATAAGTAATTTGTTACGTCACTGCTTCAGGATATTTCATCGGCTACACCGCACATGTGCAGAACGTTTCGCTATAGCTCACTGTGAAACCATTGGTGTGCCAAGGTCAAGCAGGACCCGCAGAACTATTCCTTCTTCACCTTTCACGTAGTTTTATCTTTCTGTAACATCCTATCGATTATTTTCTTCTTGTTTTCCCATTTTGTCAAATATTTTCAGCGGACAATATATCTGTGACAAATGGCTCGAGCAATTGCAAATAAAGGATGAAATATTTAGATGTTTAATTATACAGAAAAGGCCACACCTCGCCGATTTCAATGAACTTCAAATATGTTCTAGAGGATAACATTCTGAGTAACTTTTCCCTGTACATGTTACCGCCGTTCAGCTTTAATTTTCGAGATATACGCAAAAATATTTTTAACTCTATATATGAAATGCTGCGTGCCTTTTTAAGGGTTTGGCTTAGATTTAAGTTAAATTAGGTTCAGGTTTGGGTTGTATTTGGTAATAAATAAAATAATAATTGCAATTTATAATTACCGGGAAATGTGGCTATAATCTATT